AGAAGCAAGAAGATCTCTGTGAGTTCGAGGCCAGTCTGGTTTACAAAGTGAGCTCCAGGACAGCCAGGGATGTTAAACAGAGAAGGCCTGTCCTGACTCTGCACAAGGTCAAACCTGAGCTCAAAGAAGTCACTTCCAGCTGCTTCTCAGGCACATCATGAAGAGAGGCAGAACCACACTGAGACAGCATGGTTTTTAGCTCCTGTTCTTTCATCTACTTGGACGTTTGCAAAGCCCTAGGTAGGGAGGCCCAGACTTCTTAGCAGACACTTTCTCATTAGGCCTCAGAAGACTGCCTAGCCACACAGACAGGAGAGTCCAGCACAGCAATTCCTCTAGGCAGCCTCCCCACCTGCTGGGCCCAAGACTCTGGGGCCTCAACCCTGTGAGCCCCTCAGCACTGTTATGAGGAGAAGGAAAAGAACAAGCCATTTATGGTGGGAAGCAGTGACTGACACAGGTAATGATAACCTTAAACTTTAACTCTGGAGTTGAGTAAGAAATAAGAATGTTTTAGCTTGGCCACTTAATGAACCCAAAGATGTTTTAAAAGGGGTAACCTCTTCAGAAAATGGATTTATGTGACATATTAGATATGGCTCAAATAAACTAATGGGAAAACTAGGAAGGAGCCTTGAATGGCAAACTATTTCCAAAGAGGGATGTTTCTTTATCCCACAGAATCAAGCCAGCAGTGGCTTTTGGAGCTGAGGACAAATGCTAGGAACAGAGTGAGACATCAGTCTGGGCCCGGGTCTCTTGGGAAATCTAGAGCAGCCCAAAGGCAGAGCCTATGCTCACTATAAACAAGTTCTTACTGTCAGGTGGAGGGCGTGGTTCCTAGCAGTGCTCAGACCCCAGGCCTAAACCATGTGCCACCATGATTCACTGTCACCAACAGGAGGCTTTCCCCATTCAGGTCTCCATGTCCCACAAGCTCTTCCAAGACAGGAATTTGTTTTAGGCGCCTCGGAGGAGACTATGAGTAACGGGCTTATTAACTAACTCAGTGAAAAACTTCTCAGGAGAGAAGGCTGTTGGGTATAGTCACACACTCCTATAGTCCTGCTACTTAAGAAGGTGACACAGGACAAAAGTAAACTCAAGGATAGCTTGGGCTCTTAGTGAGAAACAGGTAACTCAAGTAGCGTTCATTGTTCAGGGAACAATTTGAAACCTACTGCTCAGCTGCCTACCAACTCTCCAAAGACCAATATGAGTGAGGGCTTCTCTCTCGATCTGACCTCACTGTAGCGGAACGCCCTGCACACCGTGACTCTGCTTCCCGCTGAGGGTGCTGGTCAGCCTGTGAAGGCAGTGTCCTCTTCCTGCCACAAACTGTGACCCTGGCCTTATTCTGTTGCACTCCCCAGGAAGCTGGACAGAGGCCAGCCTGATCCCAGTCTCAAGACACTGGAGAGCAACCACTGTGGCACCCCGTCCTCCCCCCACCCGCCTCCAGAGTGACCTTCTGCAGGAATACTACCCACTCTAGTCTGAATTACTCTATCATACAATGACTACCATCATTTTGTCACATAAAAACGTCTTTTATTTATGTTTACGTGTCTGCATGGGGGTGTGTACAGATGTGTATGTGTGTCTGAAGACGGTCCTGCATCTCCTGAAGCTGGAGCTGGGGAGTTGTGAGCTGCCATGTAAGTGCTGGGAACAGTAACAACAGTCAGTAATCTTAGCCACCGAGACACTTTTCTAGCCAGTTAATAATTATATGTAGTATAAAAGTAAATTGGAAAACTCATAATTAGAAGATAAGCAAGAGAAACATTGTTAGGGTTGGCTCAGGTAGATAGCAAATACAGACCTTCAAAATGTGTTAAAGGAAGGGAAATGTAGTTAAAGAAACACCTTCTAAAAACGGGTGCTTTAAAAGTTTTTTTTTAACCAGGTGGTGGCAGCACATGCCCATAATTCCAGCACTAGAGAGGCACAGACATGAGTTCAAGGCCAGTCCGGTCTACAGAGTGACTTCCAGAACAGCTAAGGCTACACAGAGAAACCTTATCTTGAAAAACAAAAAAATTTGTTGTTGTTATTTTTTGGGGGGGACAGATCTCATACCATAGGCTGGGCTGGTCTCAGTGCTGCTGGAACAGTCCTACCTCACCTGTGAGCATGCCCAATGGAGATGATTTTCTATACTGGTGAGGGTTTACAGAAGCTGCTCTGTCACCGTGCTTGGCACAGTAAGCAACCCTACAGTTACACGAACAAAATGAAAGACAACCAGCAATGCAGACGGGGCTGGGGAGATGCCCACGGGAAGGAGCACTTGCTGTGCAAGTGTGAGGCCTGGGCTGAGGTCCTAGCATCAGGAGGAAACCTGAGCATGGCTGGGTGCCCTCTGCAGTAGAACTGGGGAGCAGAGCAGTGGATCTCTCTTGGCTCCAAACCAGCTCAAGTTGAGTTTCTCAAGGCAACAGGGAGGCCTGGAGGAAGACACCCGATGTCCTTCTCTGGCATGCAATACACACCCATTGAGTATTACGGCATCTTACTGGCCTGCCTTTGGAGTTCTGACACGATACATCCCCAGCTGCTGCCACTAAGAGCACCACTTGTGTCTATTCACTAAGCTCCCTTTTATAGAGCCCTGCCCACCTCCCATCCCTCTCCCTCTCCCCCCACCCTTCCTCTTTCCAGCTACTCCTGTCCCCGGAGGCCAGTCTCCCCTCTGCCCTTTCCCCCTTATGACCCTTTTCCCTTAACAAAACCCCTCTGCTGGAACTCTGTTGCATCTTTCTCTCTTGAACCACTTCTTTAAAATTACAATAGCCATCATACACAAAGAGTACAAAACAAACAACAAAAATAAAAATAGAATTCACAAGATGAAGCTAGTTGTTTTAGTTTTATAGTCAACGAAGTCTAGCAAGTTAAAATTGCTTTGAAATGTCCACATTATATATACATGTGTGGGCAAGCAAAGCAGGTTGTACAGTTGTGCAAAGAAAAGGTGTTTAATCATAGATGGTTCGAACCACCTTGAGAGGCTCTACAGAAGCCTATCAGCCTCCAGCACACGGGCTGTGGAAATTAAATCCAAAGGGTATTCTTGTTATTTTAAAAAAAATCCAATTTTCTCTAGTTTTTCAATTAGGCCACAAATTTGAAATCTCATCAGGAGAAAAACAATTGTGCGCATATTTAAACATGTTTAACTCCTTAGAAACTGTTCATCTTGTCACTGTGTACTCTAGTTTCAGAATGAGAAAGGCACTTAGCTTTTCTGAAGTTTATTCTTCCCCGTGCAAATCCGCAGACTTTGTTCCCTCTACTTAAAGACAACAAACTCTTGCTCTCATAGCCCTCCACCTCCATCGTCACCTGCTGCCTGGCACTGGCACTGCCCATCCCCAGGCCTCCCATCAGCGGCACTGTTCACCTGTCCTGCCCGTCGGTGACACTGCCCGTCACTAGCTCTGACCATCACCAGGTCTGCCCATCCTGCTCTGCCTGTCACCAAATAGAAGGGGAGCAGTTCTAATCAGACACCTATCCTCTGAGATACGTCTGTGCTGGATTAATCCATCTACTCAGGAGCAGCCTCAGACACCATGTTTGCACAACAGTCCCTGCCCAAAGAGGGGTAAAGCAGACCCAAAGGGGTGAGCCAGGCTTCCTATGACAAGGCTTATTAGGGGCATCAGGTGGAAGTATCCTATTCATGCTAAGAGACAAGGTTTCAAGACTCAAAGAGCTACATTTCTTTTTCTTTCAAGGACTTACTATCATGTGTGTGCGGGTCAGGGACAACTTGTGGAATCAATTCACACATTCTCACCCTTCACTTTCATGTAAGTCCTGAGGACTAAACCCTTTGGCAGCTGAGCCTTCTCTCTAGCCCAGGATTTACTTTGAATGTGTTGCAAAGCAGAGACGCCTGGCCTACTTCCTCAGCTAGATCTAGCTCTGTCTCTGTTTGGACTGCACATTCAAACCCATCCATCCTCCTCTCCCTCAACAGCTGCTAGACTACTGGTTCACCACGTACAGAATGCAACACATTTCACGCTTGTTTCAGATACACGTGTAGTCTGGCTGACTGCATTCCTGTACGGTCTTATTTGTTCTTTTCGTGACTCTACAATCCCACTAACAAGGCTTCTTATGGGTCAAGGAAAAGATAGAGCATTTGGTACATCAGTAAAACACGATAGTAGTTTCTATTCCTCATCAGTACAATGCGACACTCTAGACCAAGTCAACCCAAATGACTACGAAAACTGAGTGACAGAATGAAACCCAATGCACAACTGCACTCTTCCTGTCACCACAGGAAGAGGCATTTTATTTTAAGATTGTGTGAAAGAAAACTCAGAAGCGTTAATATTCAGTACTACATAGGAATATCTGCTTCTCAGCTGAAACTTACCACAATTCCCTGACAGCTTGTGCTTAACATGGCTTGGATACTCCACCCAAACAAGTGTGTTGTCCATGCAGATGGAATTAGGCTATATAGTGAGACTCTGTCTCTATAGGCACACAGACCTACAAATGTGGATTTGGATCTGCCTACCATCTCAAAGGCCCCATCTTTTTTCCTGTGACAGAGCCAAGTCCTTAAACACATCTAAGTTAAGTGTGGGGACCTACAGGGAGGCATAGGATAAGAACTTCTGATTTTGAAGATAAAGTTGAATGTTCTCCATTGAGTATGACAGATAATAACCAAAGGAAATGAAAACAAAAAACAAGATTGCCCACTATTGTCTACTAACTATAGGAGACAAGGTCTTACAGCTGTGGCTGTCCTTCATCTCCTGAGAGCTGAGATTACACCACACCCAGCTGCAGGGACTTTTCTGAAGTCTACTCATCTATTAAGCAGATCTGTCCAGCGATAGCAAAGGCAAAGACAGACTGTCAATGGCAATAGCCGTTCTCATTTGTCACAAGCCTGGTAATTAATTCATTGCTCTGTCAATCAGCTGCACCGCTGGTGACATCTGTGGAAGCAGGAAGGGGTGGCTTACCGTGCACATGGCTGTCTTGGTGGCTCTCAGGGTGAAATCGGAAGAAAACTCCAAGTCTGAGACAGACGTAGTGTGGCAATCTATATGCTTCCCATCAGAAAGAGGAAAGAAAAAGGTCAGTCAAAGGAGTAACAAAGTCTGGCTAATACACAACAGCTGCAAATCAACATTTCCTAACTTCTAATCACAAGCCATTCTGCAGATTCTTTCCAAACTAAAGAAATATTAACAGTTAGTTAATGTTTCTTTAAATCAAGTTGGTATCTTCTACTTTGACTTCCCGTAAGAAATAATATCTATGAAGTCACACACTGATCTGTCTGCTAGTTTTGTTGACACATTAAAGACTTCAAATTTAAAACTTAGTGTTCTTTGTGCCAACAAAATCATCTTACACACCACCTGTATCTGCTATGCTTCAGGTTATGACATTAATCTTCTTAGAGGAAATACCAACTTGAAAACACATGCTGATGAAGGGAAAGACTGTCAGAAACATTCATCTCTCAGTGTATTTAAATATGCTTGTTAGATACAAGGAAAAGCCACAATTATTCAAACCCAACAGCAGAACTGTGGATTCATCTCGGAAAGAAACAGCATGTTCCTTTCTTTGTCTTCTGCCCTGGCTCAAGCTCTCCCAGTCACTTTTTAGGAAGGGTTGACACGTGATAGGATTTATAGCCAAAGTCTAGATCATCACCCTCTTTTAGAGTTGAAGAAAAATTCTAAAGAAAGTTACAGTGTGGGAGGGCTTCTAGGTGGGGAAGAATGGGAGAAAATAATGTCGAACAGGCAAGTTTGACACCATAGAGCATCTACTAAACACCTTGGCGTTTCAGTCCTAAACCAGCTAATCCAGTTAACTATTCACAGTAGTTTGAAGGATCAAGCAAAGGGAACCAGGAAAGAACTCAGTCCTCCCTTCCTGCTCTGCAATAGTTCCAAAGTGGCAGTAGCTGTTCCCCTCTGCTCTGATGCAGACAGCCCCACACATCTCTTCCTACCAGGGAAGGAGAGTATGGAGCGGTCAATAGTGGATATTAGTGTACCAGGCACCAAGTTAATCAAGCTTGTTTGCTGAGGAGTCCTTTGTTCAGAGAATAGTTATATATTATAAAAGTCACTGGCTAGAAGGAGATACTGCCCTAAACCCACAGCTGAAATATTCACACAGTCCATTATCTACATAGATAACCAATGTGCTAAGAAACTCAAGGTGACTCCTCATTGCCAAGCTATGGTGAACCCACTTAAAATCAACAGTCACAGTAAACCCATAGGTTAACCTGGACTAAAGTAAAACACAAAAGGATGAGGGCATCTCCACAGTGGAAATATTGCCCTACAGTTTCAGATACGTTCATGGTAATTAATCTAGCGAGACTGGAAGAAATCTGAGTAAGAACTGTGGAGCATAAGGTAGGAATAATAAGCTGTGGGAGCCAGCGTGATGCCAGGCGGTATTGAGGCAGATGCCAACACTGCAGATGCAGGCCTCCACCTTCAGGAGGCCCAACTGTGTGTGAGTGATTCAGCCAGTTCCAGGACTTGGATTCGAAGGCTGGTAAATGGAATATGAGAAGAGATTCTAAGCAGTGATGGCCCAGAAGCAAGTCTGATTGACCCTTTTTTTAGATGAAACTAAAATCAGAAGAGGCTTTCCCACATGGAAAGGCAGTAGGCAGACATCCTTGGACTCGGGCAACTATGGACTGAAAGTATTACCTCTTCACCTGTACTGACCATGTGCGGACATCTACTTTCTCAAACGCCGTAAACAACACGGCCTACTACTTACACAGCACCCACTTCGCAGTAAATGTAAGTGAAGCGAGTGGTCATTTGAAGTGTGTGGCAGGGTGCACGCAGGCCGCGTGTAGACACCTCCTTATTCTGCACAGGGGTTTTCTGCAAATACATGGGTTGTGGCGTGTGCAGGGGGTCCTAGCATCAAGTCCCACAGACACAGAGGGAATGCCCACACCTACCTTGATACTGCAAGGGTCCGAGATAAGAGTCTTGTGATCTACAACTTCCACAACAGCTTCTGGAATAACTGCTCTCTTCATGCAGGACATGTTGAAGCCATAGACGTCATCCCAGAAGGCGATTCTATCAGCGTGCTTGCTCACGTCACTCAGGGCCACTAGGCTGATGGTGCAAATGTCAGGGTAGACTGGAATGAAGAAAATGCCCTTTATGTAGCATCTTCTCTTCACCGAGAGGATGATTTTAAATGGCTAAATATAAGTATCAAACCTATCTACATGGACTTCTAGCAAGGAGAGATCAATGAAGACAGACAGAGGGAAATAAGTTCCCCAAGTGCCTAGAATCATGATGGTAAAATTTGCATCCCAATAGTAGACTCCTATTAAAATTACTAAAACAACCTTGAAATAAACACATTAATATTAAAACTTAAAATATGACAACTTAAAATCATTATTTCATATATTCCTCTAAAGTACACATAAAGAAACAAACTATCTGGAAGTATGTAGCACCATGGAGTGCGGGGGAGGGGAAAATCACACTGGAGTTTTATGGGAGGGGACCAGCTCATACTACACTGTCTTATTTAATATAAACTGATTGTTAAGTATGTGCCAGTATAAACAAAAGACTATGGATACACATTTCTACCCTTAAGAAACTTGCGTTTATCTATTTATTTTGAAAAAGCATCTCATGTAGCCTAGGCTGGCCTCAAAAGAGAAAGCACAAGGCATTGTGGACCACCCAGAAAAGTCAGCAAATTCAGATGAGGCTGCAGCAGGGGAAGCAGGCTACCATGTAAGCATGGAAACCAGTTCAACAGCGGGGAGAGAGGGTACTCCAGTAAAGTGACAGTGGACATCAGTCACCACTAAGGGGTGGCACCTGCATTCTAACTAGACAGGCACAAGGCTCTCCGTAAGCTACTGCTGTGAACTAGACTTTATTTTAAGAATGACTGAGAACATTTTACCTAGGGTAGCACTATGATTGGATTTCAGTTTTAGAACATCCACTGGAAGCGCCATGTAAAGGATGAATGGGAGGAAAACCGACGAGTTAGGAGAATGTAATGAGTCAAGTGGTGGAAACCAGGCCGCTGGCTACAGCATGAAGAGGAAATGGATCTGAAAGGTCAGTCTGGGAGGTGGGATGCAGGGGTGCCGGCGGGGAGGAGGCGGGATGGGGTACAGTGCTTGGCTTTAGCAGCTGAGCAGGCTGCCAGAGGGCATCAATACGGGCATATCCACGAGGAATGCGTGCGCCCCTTCTGGCACCGATGAAAACGTCAATAAGGAGATGAAGCGTAGGATGTGGAGTTATCTGGGCCTAAGGAACAAACCTGAAGACTATGGGCGTGCAAACAGAGACAGACACACAGCAGAAACCTACGAGACGTCACCAGCACCAGAATTAATGCCACAGAAGCAGCAGCAAAAGGGGCTGAGAGGAGACCAGAGAAGAAAGAGAACCAAGAGGGCACTGGAGGGGTGCTGGGGACCCGTTTAGAAGAACTAAGGAAGTGCTGTGGGATAGTGAAGGTTATTATGAAGGTTATTATGACAAAAGAGCACACAAATGATCTCTTCCGGCTAACATGGCACTTAACTTCTCCTCTGAGTAGCTCAAGCATCAACTTTCAGAGAATCCATGAATTAAAAAAAAGGTTAAGTTACATGTTCCCATACCAGATGACAACAGTAAAATAACCACAGAAACAGCCCACAGTCACCAGCCAACCTTCAGACTGGGAGACGGCCTCCACCTCACCCTCAGGAAGTAACTGGACTGCTCAAAGCTCTCATCTCCAGACTGGGAGACGGCCTCCACCTCACCCTCAGGAACTAACTGGACTGCTCAAAGCTCTCATCTTCAGACTGAGGGATGGCCCTCCACCTCACCTCAGGAACTAACTGGACTGCTCAAAGCTCTCATCTTCAGACTGAGGGATGGCCCTCCACCTCACCTCAGGAACTAACTGGACTGCTCAAAGCTCTCATCTTCAGACTGGGAGACGGCCTCCACCTCACCCTCAGGAACTAACTGGACTGCTCAAAGCTCTAAGCACAGGGTTGAGCGCTCAGGGCCATGCTCCCCTCCTCCATTAGCATGCCCAGCTCTCTGGCTGGCTCCATTTTGAGGACTGTCAATTTGTTACCAGGATGCTGACTAACAACAGGCCCACTTGCGGCAGCGCAGCGGCAACACTGGGAACTTCAGAGGCCTCTCATACCCTTCACGAGATCTGTGCCACAGCTGCAGCTTTCTGTACTATGGCCTGAGGAACACCATGAGGCCCAGTCAGGGCAGCAGACATTTGTTTGCAAAGTTGCCACTTTAGGTTTTGGAAGTCATCTGTTTTTTGTTGAAATTACCACTTTCCGTGGTTATTGTGAGAGCAGAACGGCTCTGTTCAATGAAGCCTTATCCACAAGACAGGCCGTGGGTCAGACCCTGAGACCCTGTCAGAGGAAAGAGGGAAGACAGAGAAGGGGAGACTTCCCAGGGTGGTTGACCACCACTACTGTTAGGAGTGCCACTGCTCCTGCGGTTCATGGGAACTAAACACACTGCAGCATTGTCCATGGCCAGGACAGTCACGTGACTCAATACAGCCCACGGGCAGTTCAGAGCGTGATCAGAAGTCCTCACCGAGTTTGTTTCCAATGCCGCCACAGCTCACGCTTCCTTCCGGTCTGCTGCCTGGGTTTGCACACTCACGGGCTGTAACACTACTGCCCCAGCACGCTCACCCACCAGCTGCAGCTGCACTTGGCTGCAGTGCCAGAGCTACAGAGAGGGCAGGAGTGTGGCTTGTCACACTGACAAAGCCACCGGAACTTTTACCAAAAGCCGCTGGTCTGCCACCCCCTCAAGCTGTGTGGTGTGCTAGGGACACCACGGAGAGTAAAGATGATCCCTTCATAAGGAAACCTGTCTGCAAGCCAGGTTAGAGAAGAAAAACAAATCAAGACAGGGTGTTTTTCTTTTTCAAGTTTTCAAGCTAATTATATTACAAAGGTACAGAAATCCTGGTTTTTATTTTTAAACTCAGAAAGACATGAATATTCATAAAGACTTGTAATCAGTGCTAGGGGTCAATTGGGTTCAGCATCCACCTTGGCACAGCTGCCTAAATCTTGGGCCACCTGCCAGAACTCCGCTAACCCTTTACCTTCAGAGTCTCAGACATTCGTCACTTGATTTTTTTTTTTGTCAGATAAAAGCTATAATTGAATAATTATGCCTGCTTGTAGGTGAAATCGGCCAAGTGCTGATTGGACAAAGCAGCCAGTTACCAGACCATTTATAAATCCATGGCTTTGACATCTGTGTCCTTCTCGATTCACTGCCCAGAATTCATCTGTCACTGGGACAGCTCATGAGGTGAGCAGACCAAGATGGGAACTCCTTCATCCCTAGGGAATGCTCCACAAACTTCTGGGCCCTAAAGGCAGAGGCTGAAGAGTACTGAGAATACAACTCCCTCCCATAAGACACCAGCACACAGAAGTCAAAGCACTGCAAACACTCACCAAACTATAGAGCAGGAGTAATTTGGAAACCAAATATTCATCTGGAAACTAGACCTATTCCTCCATATTACCTAATAAATAGTGATCAGCCCCGTTAAAGCAGACTTAATTTGGAGACGGAAAAAGTTTTGAAAAACACGTACTGAAAGAAGGTAAGCAACGTTATCAGGGTATGTCTACAAAGAAAAAGCACCTACAGAAACAGAAACAGCACAGGAAACTTTGAGCCCCAGGAGCCATGGCTTCTGTGTGATGTCATCTATGCACAAGTAAGACTTACTTACTGAAAGAAGGTGCCATGTTCAAACCCATTTCACCACTGTTTACGGCACAAGCCAATGTTGCTCTTGCTTCCAGCAAGAACACAGGAGACTTAATACATAATGAAAACCCACTTTATACCAGGCACCTCGTCTAGACTTTTGAGATGACTGTCTATAGCTGGGCTCTGATCTGCACGTCACAGAGAAGGAGACTGAAGATGAGGAAGTAAGTAACAATAAGAAAAGCAGTCTTCGCTAGCTAAGAGGACAACCAGGCAGCTGACATGCAAGTCTTGAGGTCTGCCTACAGACACCATGGACTTCCCATTGCACGCCAGCTCACTGCCTTGCTCTTCAAGCAAGAGCTCCGACCCTCTACAGCAAATGAGCACTTGTTAGAAGGACAAGGAGAAAGAGAAGTACATTTTAACTATTACTAAAACTAAGCGAGCAAAGCAGAAATGTGTGGGCTCGCTCACTTTGCTGAGTGACTGGTAACAGGGCAGAAACAGAGGTGAAAGGCCACCACCCAGCAGCTGGGAGAACAGGTCGCATCAAGGGTAACTCTGGTATGCACAGACCAGAGGCAGGGCAGGGAGTGCTGGCTGGGTCCCTATGCCGTTTGCTGCTCCCCAGGAGCTACATGGCAGAAGCTAGCTTTCTTCAGCCTGCAGGAGGCCAGGTTGGCAGGGGAGGGAGACTCTGGTAAAGGGGTACAGGGACAGTGTCATCTCCTGGGCACCTACACAGTGTAATGTATCAGCCATGAGTCCGGCCAAGCAGCAGTTTCTGGCTATATCACTTCCCAGTTTTCGTACTTCATAGCATTCCTGCCCTTTAATAAATCCTTTTCCCATTGACTGGGGTAGATTTCTGTTCCTCCCAACAAGTCCTCTCATCACACTGGCTATAAAGGGAAGGAGTACTGAAAATAAACTTTGCCTCTGGACTGTGTTCAAAGGCCTCTTCCATGAGCATCTATATTTTAAGGAAACACCCCTCACGACTGTGTTGGTCCCTTGTAAGGTGAACAGAAGCAGTGGGCTAGAACAGGCTGCTAGCCCTCCTACCTGGAAGTAGATAAAAACCTGAAAGAGCCCAAAATGCATCTGGGTTCTCAGCATGCGGAAGGAGAGCTGCTTTCACAGTAATGACAAGTTGCAAAGACAATTCCTTCCTGATAGAGGAAGACTAGTAGCTTCTCAACTTTCTTCTGCTAAAAATGATTTTAGGAACTCTTGCTGATTCTGAGCAACTTCCCAAAGTGAGCTACTTCTCCATGCTATTAGCAGATATAATCTCTTCCGCCCCTGAGCATGTCAGCTTTGATTTCTCGGTGCTGGCTGCCTTCCACACTGGAGCTGACTGGCTTTGCCCTGTGGTAATTAGCAGACACTTTAAGGAGGATCTTTGAAAGCTGGTACATATCTCATTCTTCGAGCTCTGATTACTTATTTAGTCATTTGTATTTGAAAGGACATTCCATTTCTTGTTTTTATCAAAGGGTTATTACAGATATGAGAAGGAAGCATAGGTCAAGAATGGTATTATTAAAATTCTTTGCAAATGACTAGATTGTTTTACACAGGAAATTCTTTTAGAAATAACCACCAGGCTCAGCAAAACCACAGAACATAAGCTTAATAAAACAAGTAAGTCTATACCACAGGTAGGCAACTGAAAAATAACAGAGAGCTTTGTATCTGCAAGGGTAGCATTGCAAACACACGGGCTCACAGACTGAGGGGTTCCATGCAGAGGCCGCTTATTTTCTAACTGTCCTATTCATCAGATGCCATCTTAATTCTCAGCCTTTTTAAAGCAATGAGGTTAAAGGAGAGACCCTGTCTCAAAAAGATGCCTACACTGAGTCTGACCTTCGTGTTCTCACTTCCTCATGCCCTCCCCCTCTTCACCCCACCACTTCCTTTCTCTCTCTGTCTGGGTGTGAGAAAGCTGGCATGATCTTGACGTGAATCATAACTCAATGAAAACAATGAAACTTCTACAAGTGTGACCTCAAGTAGGGTGTCCTCCACGAGGCATGCACACAACAGGACGGAGGCAGCACCTTTCAGTTGTCCTCATCCTTCTCTGTGAGCTGTCACTCAACTCTCTTTGCAGTGTTCCTGTGCCTTTGCTAGCTACTTACTGGAAGGATCCACCGGGAAGTAAGAAGTTACACTTATGGTAAGAGCTGGTTGGATTCCCCATTTTAGTCCTTGTGACTTTGCTTTAGTATAGATAGTCCATTACATGGGAATTTACACACGCAGTCAACTTCATAAAGCAGTCACAGCTTCCAAATTTCAGTTCTTAAAAACGCCTCCCTCAAGTCTAATGTGTTTGCATTCTATCTGATTCACTGGTAGATTACAATGATCAATTTTCTGTCTGGATTAAGCTGTTTGAGGAAGGGTTGTCTGAAGATTTTATTATGCTGCCCAGGCTGGTCTTGAGCTTCTGAGTCTAAGTATTCTTCATGACTCAGCCTCCCACTTGCTGGAACTACAAGTTTGTACCACTGAGCCCAACTGAACCTTACTTCATTTGATCCTTTTTTTCCATTTAAGGCAAGGGCTTATGTTGCCAGGGCTTGCCTCTAACTCAGTGGATAACTCAGGCAAGGTCTTGAACTCCTGCTTCCATCTCCCAAGTAGTAGGTGTAAGCCACCACACTTGGCTTTGTTTTATTTTAAAATAAAACTATATTTTAAGTTGCTATTAAAAATAATTTCCTGCATTGTAAGAGGTGTTGGTTACATCTGTGGCTATAACCAGATTTTCCATTTTCTTCAACTTGCCCCCTCACAGAAAGCGAATATGTCTGATTTTTATTACCCAGACTTCAGGATGCACTTTCTATATGGCAGGGTTCTTCCTCCTGTCCCTGCCACCTCAGGGGCTTGCTACTTTGCTGGTTTCTTGCCATTCCTGTTTACTTTTCCACATAATTTTCATAATCAGCTTAAACAAACCTCTTAGCGGGGACAGCAGTAAAAACTTAGAAAAAATATCAGAAAAGGGGAAAGTACACACAATTCTCATCTACAATTTTAACAACTGTTAGTAGTTTTGGATTTCACCAAATTTTGGTAAGTTTGGGTGAAGTGACATCTTCTAGCATTAATTCTCTTTATCTAAGAATATAGTGCTTCTTTACATTGACTTAAATCTTCTTCATGGAGAGAGGAGGAGACAGATGAACTTACATTCACATCATGGACCCATTATGGTCACGTGGGCCCACAATACCTACACCCCATTCCATAATGTAATCATTCTTTCTAAAATTTTCACATTACATAAAGTAAAACTGCACAATACACATTAGCATCTGACGGCAATACTTGTTCATTTGATGCTGCTCATATTTTATTTCTTTTTCCTCCTAATTATATTAACAAACAGCATTCCACAGCACTGCCCAGGCAGCTATATGCTGATTCTTCTGACTGCACCCCCAGATGATTCTAATGTTAATCAGTTCTATAAAAATATGGACTGAGCTAGAATCATTAACCTCCCTTTTATCCGTCCAGCTGCCACCGTCCCATGGCTGTGGAGGCCTAATGAATCTCACTGAGCACTCGATTTAAATGCATTAGCTGCTGTCAGTTCTTCAGTGAGATCAATGAACCCCACTGGGGAGGTAAGGTGCAGGAGGAGGTGGGGGTTCCCTAGAACCCCACAACAAGAGTCAGAGGTTTTAAATGCATTTTAATAGGGAAACAAGGCTTAGTGAAAAGAACATGATTATTGATTAGGTCAAGCAGATATGAGTTTAGAAACCAGAATAGCAAAAGAAATGCAGGTCTAGCCTCCTAATGATGTCATCTTCCTGGACATCTTTTGATACCGTTCCCCAAACCTCAAAGGGCTGTGGTGAAGATTTTATATAACATAAGCAAGGGTGACGGTGATGACCACTAGAGAATCATCGAGTGATATTATTCCCTTCAGTCACTAAGAAGATCACAGTAATCACAGACATGAGATGGTCTCAGGGTAAAACATGTAAACAAGGTTCACAAGCAGAGATCAGAACTACGGTAAAGAGGATGTATGACGAGTACACCCTGAGAAAGAGAGACACAGAATACTACTAGAGCTGCACTGTCTGGAGGACCCGCCCTCGCTCTCCGGTTTGGACTGACTACTTCCCACTGGACTGTAACTGCCTGCACAGGGTGCTGCGGGCAGAAGGCCCGAACAAGAACATAATCCCTGTTCTTGAGGACACCAGGCACCCAAGCACAAGACAGGGAAGTGTGCATCCCCCTGAGGATGCAACCGGAACACTACTTTGCCACAGACATGGAAAAAAGAATCTGCTTCTACTAGACGTACAGACGGGAGGTGATTAAAACCTTTCTAGACACCTGAAACAATGACAGATTGGAGGAGCTTGTGAGTTAGTGAAGTAAGGGAAATGTGCTATTAAAACCAATCGTCTCCAGCCTAGTATGAAACATGCTATTGGTCTTTGGCTAAGATTGAGAGTGGAAAACAGGAACTAAATGACACAAGGATTAAAAAAGAAAAGATGCTTCTGGTACATTTTAATTTGAAAATTAAAAGCTTCCCGCACCTAGTCCTTACGTTTCTATTAAACAAACAAAAAACCTTCTAGTAAAAGATGTCCTAACAAACCATGGCTTTGGGGTCCCCTTATCTTAAGTAACCAAAGCTCTTTCCGATGGGAACATCTTTCATCTCCACCAAAACTCTAAGCCATGCACAGTATGACTGAAATGCAAAGGTTGCACCAAACTGAAATCAGATTAAAACTCAAAGGTCTTACTTACCTGATCCTCCTTTTGTCAAGTATTTGCTCTTTGCATAAAGGACAGAATCCAACATTGACTCAAAAAGAAGAAAATAGCCCTGTAGGAAGGAAAAGATGAGTATCAGGAATGGGCACCACAGGAGACGCAGTAGAGCAGCAGATGGCTCTGTCCACACGTACTGTCTTCTCTGTCATGCAACTCTGCCAGTCACCGGATGTACAGTAAGTTCTATACAGCAGCACTGCAAGGTCAGGCCTGGTGTAGAGGACCCATTAGGCTTTCCATACAGTACAAGTACAGACCTGCAATTCCACTGTTCAGTCTACTGTTTCTTCCCCAATGAAGGAAAACTTCAGGCAGAAACTTTTTATCAGCCTTGTAGCTCCCTGAAATGTTGCAAGATTAATTGGGAGTGGTCCTGATAAATTTTGTCTCCTGTGGGGACTTGTCACACTGGACACTCGCAGGGTGGAAACACTACTGGTATCCACTGGGCAGAGCCATGAGATGTTACCACACATCCTGCCATGCACACGATAGACCACCACCTGACCAGCGGGACTGAGGCAGAGAGCACAGGCATGAAGTGCTACCACCCAATGCATTCAGTGTCTAAAGAGCTTTCTTTGGTGTGCACATAGACACCACTAACTGGATTCAATGGGTCATTAAAAGGGGAGGGAGAGGATGACTATTGCATCTATGTATTGCCAAGATTTTTTTTAAAAAATCAAGAAGCAGGAGGAATGAATAGAATGTGCCCTGTGAATTCATCAGTTCACAGGGCACACTCGCACACTAGAAGTCCTTGACAGAGTAGGGCCGCTGTCCATACTCTGAGCAAGTGTCATGCTTTTCCACTAGAATTTGCCTGCTACTTGCCATGCAACAGCATCTTCAAGAAAGTGATGTATAAAATTTAGCTCAAGGAGCAGGACCAGAGTGTAACCAGATTTCAGGGAATGGTGGTAAACCCTTCCCAGGGAAAGGGTGATGGAGTACACAGGAAAAGGAGACACAGTTGGGGTCTTAAACACTCCACACTCTATTAGCATACTACACAGTATACACTGTGCAGAAAGCCACACCCACTGCCGCTACTCTTCCCTCCAGGGCCACACCCTTGGCATGAGGGACAGTGTGGACCACACCCTCCCATCAGGCCTCTAACTGAACCTGTTTCTCATCTGCTCCTTTGTTGTGCACGCATTGGTTCCTGGTGGGATAAACGCGGTGTTATGAACTACATGAATTAACAGAACATAAAAGGCAGTAAACCAAGAATCATCCTCATAAGCAAGTGACACAGGGTGAACTCACTGGAAACATAGGTCTGATGACTGTCTCTGCCTTGGGTCAATGTCCTCCTGACAAACTAAGTCACTGGTAAGAAAATGTCCAAGATCTCCTGCACGAATCCCCGTCATTGTGGCCCCTGACTGGGGCACATCAACTCATCCCACCCACCAATTCCCAGAGACCTAGGGGCAGCCCCAAACCATCCAGCAACGCATCTGCTATCAGAGCTTTGGGGGAGGGGCCAGGGACAGCGCCATATCATCCAGCATTACATCACCCACCACTGGAGCCCTGGCCCCGCCATGTCTGGGAGAGGAAGATCAACCACCTAAGCCACAGGCCTCGCCTACGCCAACTGAATCACAGGCCCCACCTGCATCCACTGGAGGAAGAGATGGGAAGAGGACAGTATAAGAACACATTCAACAACATAAATAGTAACATGACACCACTAGGGACGAGGGGGTCTACATCAGTGAGACCTGAACATTCCAATGCAGATGAAGCAGAAGAAGAAGACCTTAAAAATAACGTTATGAAGATGATGAAGGCCCTCAAGGAGGAAATGAGAAACTCCCTTAAAGAAATGCAAGAAAAGACAAGCAATAAATGGAAGAAATGGAGGGAATGACATACTAAAAAAATGCAAGAAATCAATAAATCTCTTAAGGAAAGCAAAGAAAGAAAAAAACAACAAACAGGTGAAGGAAACAATTCAAACAGTTCAACCCTGAAAACTGAAAAGCTGGGTAAATGATCAGAAGACAGATGCAATCATAACGGAATACAAGAGTTGGAAGACAGAATCTTGGGTGTTGAAGATACACTGGAGATTCATCATCCAAAGAAAATGTTAAGTCCAACAAATCCTTAGCACAAAATATCCAGGAAATATGGGACACTGTGAAAAGACAAACCTAAGCATAACATGTATAGAAAAAGGTGAAGAAGTCTAGCTCAAAGGCACAGAAAACATAATCAATAAAATCATAAAGAAAAACTTTCCCAACATAAAGAAGGACATGTCAATGAAAGTACAAGAAGCTTATAGAACACCAAATAGACTGGACCAAAAATAAGTCCCCTCACCACATAATAATCAAAACATCAAACATATAGAATAAAGAAAGAATATTAAAAGCTGCAAGAGAAAATGGCCAAGTAACATATAAAGGTAGACCTATCAGAATTACACCTGACTTATCAATGGATACTCTGAAAGCCAGAAAGTCCTGGGTAGTGTAAGAAACCAGAGATGCCAGCCCAGACTACTATACCCAGCAAAGCTTTCAATCTCTATAGATGGAGAAAACAAGATATTCCACGACAAAGCCAGATTTAAACAATACATATTCACAAATCCAGCCCTAAAGAAAGTACTGTAAGGAAAACTCCAACCCAAAGAAGTTAGCTACACTGACAAAAACACTGGCAATACATAATCCCACATTACCAAAAGCCAAAAAAGGGAAACACACACAATACGACTACCAACAACAAATCCAAAACAAACAAAAATCAACAATCATTGGTCATTAGTATCCCTCAATATCAATGGCCTTAACTAGCCTATAAAAAGACACAGGCTAACAGAATGGATACAAAGACAGAATTCATCCTTCTGCTGCATACAAGAAACACACCTCAACTTCAAAGACAGACACTACCTCAGAGTAAAGGGTTGGGAAAAGATTTTCCAATCAAATAGACCTAAGAAACAAACTGGTGTGGCTATCCTAATACCTAACAAATTAGATTCCAAACTAGAAATAAAAGAGATGAGGATCATTCCATATTTGTCATGGTAAAAACCCATCAGGATGAAGCCTCAATTCTGAACATCTATGCCCCAGTTACAAAGACACACACTAGTAAGAGAAACATTACTAAACTTAAACCACGCATAAAACCCCACACACTTAGAATGGGAGTCTCAATTCTGAACATCTATGCCCCAGTTACAAAGACACACACTAGTAAGAGAAACATTACTAAACTTAAATCACGCATAAAACCCCACACACTTAGAATGGGAGTCTCAATTCTGAACATCTATGCCCCAGTTACAAAGACACACACTAGTAAAAGAAACATTACTAAACTTAAATCACGCATAAAACCCCACACACTTAGAATGGGAGACTTAAAGACCACACTCTCACCATTGGACAGGACTACCAGAAAGAAACTTAACAAAGAAATAAAGGAACTAACAGAAGTTGTAACTCAATTGGGGTTAACAGACATCTATAGAACATTCCATCCAAACACAAAAGAATATACGTTCTTCTTAGCACCATACGGAACCTTCTCTAATATCGACCACATATTCATTAACAAAACAAACATCACCAAAAACCCGGAATAACCTCCTCTATCTTATCGGATCACCATGGTTGCAAGTTAGATTTCAACAACAGCACAAACTGCAGAAGGCCTACAAACTCATGGAATTAGAACAGTGCTCAATTGTTATCACCCCTGGGTCAAGAAAGAAATAAAGAAATTCAAGACTTCCTAGAATTCAATGAGAATGAAGACACAACATACCCAAACCTATGGGACACTCTGAAAGCAGTGATAAGAGGAAAGTTCACAGCACTAAGTGCTCACATGAAGAAAGACACTGGACAAAGTGACACTAGAGACTAAACAGCACAACTGAAAGCTCTAGAACAAAAGGAAGCAAACTCACCCCAGAGGAGTGGACACCAGGAAATAATCAAATTGAGGGCTGAAATCAATAAAGTAGAAACTAGGAAAACAATACAAAGAACCAAAACAAAGACTTGGTTCTTGGAGAAAATTAACAAGATAGACAAACCTAACCAAAAGGCAAAGAGAGCACATGCAAATTAACAAAATCAGAAATGAAAAGGGGGACATAACAACGGACACTGAGGAAATCCAGAGAATCATCAGGGCATACTTTGAAACCTGTACACAAAATTCGAAAATTTAAAGGAAATGAATTTTCTGGATAAATATTACTTACCAAAATTAAATCAAGAACAGATAAGCAATTTAAATAGACCTATAACCCCCTAATGAAATCGAAGCAGTCATCGAAAGCCTCCCAACGAAAAAAAAAAAAAAAAAAAAGCCCAGGTCCAGATGGTTTCAGAGCAGAATTCTACCAGAAATTCAAAGAACAGCTAAAACCAATTCTCCTCAAAGTGTCTCACACAATAGAAGCAGAAGGGTCATTGCCAAACTCTTTTTATGAGGCTACAACTGCCTTGGTACCCAAGCCATACAAAGATACAACTAAGAAAGATAACTATAGACCAATATCCCTCATGGACTTTGATGCAAAAATACTCAATAAAATACTGGCAAATAGAATCCAAAACACATCAAAAAAATCATCCACCATGATCAAGTAGGCTTCATCCCAGGGATGCAGGGATGATTCAACATACGAAAATCCATCAGTGTAATGCATCATATAAACAAGCTGAAAAACAAAAATCACATGATCATCTCACTAGATACTGAAAAAGCCTTTGACAAAATCCAACATCCCTTCATAATAAAAGTCTTGGAGAGATCAGGGATAACAGGAACATATCTAAACATAATAAAAGCTATATACAGCAAACCAACAGCCAACATCAAACTAAATGGAGAGAAATTCAACACGATTCTTCTAAAATCAGAAACAAGACAAAGCTGTCCACTCTCTCCGTATCTCTTCAATATTGTACTTGAAGTTCTTGCTAGAGCAGTCAGACAACAAAAGGAGATCAAGGGGATACAAATTGGAAAGGAAGAACCAAACTTTCACAATTTGCAGTA